CCGCCCCAAGTACATTCCACTATGCAACCTTAATTGTGGACTCTTGTTGCTGCTTTTAATGAATTTTATTTCTACTCTTTTTATCTACCAAATTCATAAACAGAGAGCTCTGGTGGCTTAGTGACAAGGAATCTCTGCTAACCCAGAAGGATGTGGTTCACATCCTCCAGTTGCTCCGCAGAAAATAGATGGGCAGTCTCTTTCCATGCAGTTTTTGCCTCTGAAAACCTTCTTCAGGGCTTGCTATGAATTGGTTCTGACTTAATGGAACTCAACAACAACAAATCATAACCTGAAAGTAAGAGAAAAAAAAATTCTACTTTTATGGTTTAGTAACGAGAGACTTTTAAAGTTATCGAATAGTCTTTTTCTATTTTACAGATGTCAGTTTGTACAAGATAATTGTTGTCATTTGGAGTGGAAAAGTAATAAAACCCTGAGCATGTTGTTGTTGTTGTTATGTGCCGTGGAGTCGCTTGTGACTCATACCAAACCTATGTACAACAGCCCTAAACTCTGCTCTGTCATGTGCCAGTCGCACTGCCTCTGACACACCCACCCATCCCAATTAACCAATCCTGGAATCAATCCACCTCATAGAGGGCCTTGCCCTCCTGCACTGTCCCTCCGCCCTACCAAGCATGATGTCCCTCTCCAAGTACTGGTCCCTCCTTACAACATGTCCAAAATATGTTAGAGAGCCTCAGAATCCTTGCTTTCAAGGAGCCTCCTGGTTTAACCCTCTCCAGGATGAATCTGTTTGTTTTCCTAGCAGTCCATGCTACCCTCAATACTCTTCTCCAGCACCACAGCTCAAAGGCATCAATTCTCCTTCTATCCTCCTTGGTCATTGTCCAACTCTCTGATGCATAACAAGTGATTGCGAAGACTATAGCCTGTATCAGACGCACCTTAGTCTCCAGAGAGACACCATTGCTCTTCAGTACTTTGGAGATGTTCTGGCATGTTAGGAGACCTTAGTTTCTGTTCCTAATTTCAGTTCTGGGCATGTTAGGAAACCTTAATTTCTATGTCACTGAATGACCTTGTAGAGTCATTTTTTGCCTTTCCTTTTTGTCCAAATTGTAAAATGAGGATGATAACAGTTGTTCTACCTAGGTTATAGGATTATGAAACAGCTAATAAAACATAGACAATAAGCCTTTGAAAAAGATAATTTATTAATTACTTTTGTGTCATAGAATGGATTCCTATTCATATTGACCTCATGCAATAGAATAGAACTTCACAGAAGGGTCTTCTAGGCTGTAATATTTACTGACTCAGATGGCCCGATCTTATTTCCTCAGAGCCAGTGGGTAGATTTGAACCTCTGATCTTTTGATTAATAGCCAAGTGCTTAATCTTTGTGTCAACTGGGCCTCTTTATTAAGTATTCAGTCTATTACTGGTGAGTTGGTTCTGTCTGATGGTGACCCTCCATTGCGTTTGAGAAGCTGTAAATCTCCATTCTCCTTCCAAGTTAGGGGCTTACTAGGGGAGTCCCAGGTTACAGTTTAGGATCAAAAAGGCTGAGAATAACATTGTTCAGTCAGAACAGCTGCACCCAGTACCAGTTCTCTCATTGGACCCTCACATCCTCAGGCCTCTTAGGTCTCTTGGACAGGATTAACCTTTTCTGTCCTGGGCAACTGTTAAAAATCTCTTTTGCTTTCTTAATAAGTGCCCTGAAACACCCCACTCTGTCAGTAAGCATCTTACCTGAAGATTCTCCAGAAGCTGGAAACCTTAATGGGTGTAGAGCCTCCCTCCTTTTTTATTTTTTATTTTTTTCCTGTGGAGCAACTGATAAGCTTGCTCTGCTAACTTTCAGTTAGAAGCTAAGCACCTAACTTACTCCCCTACAAGTATTAATAGGATTGTTAATTGTTGTTGTTAGGTGTCATCAAGTCGACTCCAGCTCGTAGTGACATTATGTACAACAGGATTAAACCTCGCCTGATCCTGTGTAAACTGTGCAGTGCTTACTTACGTTCATTTTTGCAGTCACTGTGTCAATCCATTTCAGTGAGATGGTATAATTAAGAGTACTCACAGCATGGACCATTTGTAAGATATTTAACACTGTGTGAGATATTTTAATATGTTTTCATCAGCCCTTGAAATAGCCATATGAGGTGGCTGCTAGTGTCTCTGTTTTGTAGGTATGGAAGCTGAGGTTCAGACTGGTTAAGGAAAGCTACTTTGTTCAAGATTTTGCTGCTTGTGACTGGCACTTTTAGTATTTATCAACTCATGCAGCTATTCAGTAAAGGATATAGGCATGTTTTGCAAATATATTGCTGTGAGAGTTAACATTTCTACCCATTAAGCCTATTATTCTCTTTATCATTCATTGAAAGATCAGTAAAGACAGATTTACACTTACAGTTATCATTCCTGGAGGGGAAGCTAGGGAGCGCTGGTGGCCTAGTGGTAAGAAGCTGCACTGCAATCCCAAATGCACTCAGTTTGAATCCAGCAGTTTCTGTGGGAAAAGGATGGGCAGTCTTCTCCAGGGCGATGAACAGCTTCTGGAAACCCGCTGTGGGTCAGCTATAGGTCGATTCCAACTCAACAGTACTCAGAAACAGAGGGGAGGAAAGAAAAATCGTTCACAGATGTTTGTTCTGTCTTTACCTCAGCCCTCTGAAAAAGGTATTTCCATTTCACCAGCTAGAAGACTGAGAACCATGGGGATCTTGGGTTGCTCAAAGTCATATCATTAGGAATTTGCTAAATATTGATATAAGACCACATTTTCAAATTGTAAAATTCTTTGTTAGCTATTATATCATGTTTCCTTTTAAAATGTCATCATAATAAAATTTGGGACACTAGAAATGTCTTTTGAATTGCTTCCTAATCTTTACCTTCTTTGCCCTAGAAAATTCTAACTGAAGTCCATAGTTTTAACCAGAAAAGATAATTGCTGATGTAACTGTGTGTCAGATGATCGTGACATCCAGTATTCTTTCTTTATTTTATTTTTATTTATTCCGGCCTTTAATTAGCAGCTTTCAAAACAAATATTCACGTCATGAATGAGAGGCAAAAATCAGAGGCTTTAAAATCCTTGTATTCTTCCAACCTGCCCAATTAAAGCTGAATTTAAATCAAGTGAAATCCACTGCAGCAACTACACATCCTTGTCTAGTCACTAAGTGGCTAAGACCTTCACTCAATCCAAGGCCTAATTCCAGGATGTTCATGGCTTCTTCAAGTCTCTGCATCCCTCGCCCTTGTCGAAGGTGATGCCACTTGGTCAGAGACTGAAACATCCCCTTGGTCCGTAACTTGGGCATGTTGGGATCATAGACCACCACCCTGGTGAAGTTCGAGCATTCCAGAGCCTTCAGCTCGAGCATAGTCTGGCTCACTTGCTCAAGGTAGGGGATTCGGGATCCATTTGGGTCAAATACCAGCATCAGCAGGTTTGTCGGGACCTCGAACATCTCCAGAGTTTTCAAGTTGTCGGGGTCTTTCACCTATGGGGGGATGGATGTCTTTCCGTTGCGGATGCCCTTCCATCTTAAAGTCCTCGAAAACCGACATCCAGTATTCTGAATCACCTGTTTCTGAATATTCATTTCCCTTTGCCATTATAAGGTTATTAACATAAGGTACGACATTTTTTATTCTTGTTTTAGGCTTTTCCACTAATAGCTTCCTTTTCTCCCATCTTTTCAGTTTTTGAGATAAGTGAGAATCATTTATGTGCTTGACTCCTCATATTATCTTCTTAGGAATCGTATAGAAACCAATCGATAGCTGCTGCTTCATTGAGTTTCCATGGCTGTAACTTGCATGAAAGAAGATTGCTCATCTTCTTCCTATGGAAAGACAGGTAGATTCTAGACACCAGAGAGCAGAGGCCGTTGGGTAATCAGCACATCTGTCTAAGGACAAGGCTACAGCCGCCAGAGCTCAAACGCTTTTCTGTTGAGTCGGGGCCATTTCATAAGTGGCTTGGTTTCTCTAGTGGCCTAGTCCATAGGAAGTTGCACTGCTAATCCCAACACTGTATCTCTCTGTAGGTTCAAATCTACTTACCTGTCCAGGGAAGAAAGGTGGGCAGTCTCCTTCTGTGTAATTTGCAGCTTCAGAAACCCCCTTGAGATTCAGCGAGGAGTCCGTTCTGACTGGGCAGCACTAAGTCGAAGAATAGTATATTAATAAGTTTAGGAGGAACCAGATCATTAATGTGATTTTGTGTGGTATTAATTATCAAATATTAAACTATTACTTATAAAAAAGTCGTTGAGCCTTGGCTCTTGTTTATGAAGCCAGGATCAGAAAATTTGCATTTGGAGGGCTAGGAAATCTAGTCTTGTCTGTGAGGCTTTCTTCTTTCCCTTTTCCACTTCCAGCTTTCTTCTGTGTTCCTTTCCGTTTAGACTATGTAAAGTACCAATTGGGACTTGCAAGAACATTTCTTCTTATTTCTTTTTAAAATAGAATCTGCCTTTTGAATCTCTGGAGTATGATAAATGCTAAAATATGCTTGGCTTCCACCCTCATATCTTCCTGCCTATATCCTAACCTTTTCTTCAAGGCATAACTTTCCCTGGTTCTTACACAATTGGGCTTGACTTCTTCCTCATTTGAACTCTTCTTCCCAGGTTTCTTGGTGTGGTACTGCAATATTATCTGTCACTTTTTAGAAAGGCAATATATGTAGAAGGAAGATCACTACTTGTGCACTTATTTATCTTTTTTTTATAAGTTTTTTCCCCTATAATTATATTTTATTAATTTTCATAAACATTTACAGA